ATAATGCCCAGCAGGGCCTAAATAAATACAGCAGAGCAGTAATATGTATACAAAGAGTGATCAGCCGGAGGTATTCCTGGCCAAGAGGGAGCTCTACATCTTTCCTGTGGGAAGGTGAGCAGTACTACAGACCTGCCAAGACGTGTGAACCTTTATTCCACTTGCAGTCCCAGTGAACAAAGCAAATACTGGCAAGGAAGCACATGAGCAAGTCACAGCCCACCTTTAGGAAAGCTTGTCTAGAAATGCCCAGTGTCTCTGATATGACTTGAATTAAATTATCTCCAGCACCTACTGCACAATAAAGTCTTACTTTACTCTGCAAGTCACCTGAAAAACCCTGAATCGGATTATACTCCATTCCCTTGCAACACTGAAGGCACTTCTTACCCTCTCTGAAAAGCTTTTCCTGTTCCACTCCATTCACTGTATTAATCATCTCTTCTTCTGAATCACTTACTTCTAGATCTTCAATTATTTGGGACACAACTTCTCTCAAAGACATGCTGGAAGGATTTAGAGTGACTGGGGATCCCAAATATTTAGTTGAACTTCTGGATGACAGAGAGGAGCTCAATCTATAAACAGCTAAAACAGAGAATTAGTGTGTCCCCAGTGTCTTTTTACACTTTCTTTCAGCTTTCCTCAAAAAAAAAAAACCACACAACACCAAGCAGGGAGAGAAAGACACACAAGAAAACACTCTTCCTCTTCTTGAAGCAGTTTTAGAGAGATCACAGTGCATCTTAGGAACCAGCTGGAAAAATCCTTGCAACCATTCTTCAGTTCACCCTGAGGAGCAACACCGAGAGCAGCCTCCTTTGGTAAAACAGAACTAGGTCACCATTAACATCTGACATTATTGCCTTCCTAACCTCAGCATCTTTAAGAGATGCTCACTCCCCCTCATCTTCCTCTCATTTGATCCAGTCCCCTACTCCACATCCTCCACGCTTTTCTCCACATTATCTGTCCCTTTGTCCTAAAAATGCCTCACACTGGACTCCTCAAACCCTTTTCTCTTGATGCCTTCCCTTGTCCTTTCAAAACAACTTTTGCCTGGTCCAAGCAACATGAGGAAAACTTGTTCCCATTTACACAGCCAGGACAAGGTATTTCCAGGGAAATGACTGAAGAGAGGTACCAGACACTAGGGAAAAACTGGCAAAGCCTTGGTACAGAGTGACCAGGGAGGCTCCCACCTCTGTCCAAGGCATTTTTAAGGCCCAGGAGACAACAAAGCTATGACAAGTAAGTGACCACACCAGAGTAAAGGTCCAGACTCATCAAGTTCCTGAGATTTCTTCCATCTCTGTCTACATGTCCTACATATTGAGCCCAAATCCTACTCACGGCCAGCCACCTCCTCTTCATGAACAGCAACCTGCTCCACTGGGTTACTCTGCTGGGAATGATCTTGCTGATCTTCCTGCTGGTTTGCAGGTGTCCCTGGCGATACACGAATCATTCTGTCAATGTGCTCCTGATCCAGGCCCGAGTTCTCAGGATGTCCTTGTGTCCTTCCCTCATCTGTGCCCACACCGGACACCAGACCCTCTGGCCTCGCTGCCTCTTGAGCTGCATCAGAAATCTCGCTCCTCTGTGCTGGAGTTTTTGGATCTGACAGCTGGGGTTCAAGAGCAGAAGGTTTATTTTGGCTCTGTTCATCCAGCTGGGGCTGAACAAAGAGCTCGGTGTTGTTCAGCACGATCTCTGCATTGCTTGTCATCATGGTTGTTTGAATCCCAGACGCAGACTGCGAGTCCACGAGGTAGTTCTCTGCTGTTCAGAAAGTTTTAAAACAAGCTTTATGTGAGAAACTGTTCAAGGTCACAGGGACACAGTTTGTTACCAGGACTTGCACCGTTCTAAATTTCAAGTCGCTCAATCAAATCCTACTCGCCCTCAACAGATCAAACACTGAACCTGTACGGCCCCACCTCAGTGCCCCCAACCTTCCCAACCAAACTGCAGAAGCCCCAGTACCCACAGATGAAGACAATGCCAAATGTTTCCTGTGATTTGAGTCACCCACCTGGGCAAAGCACACATTTAAGTGCACACAATCAACTACAGAGGCAGAGCCCTGTGCTAATCTCAGTTCCCAAATCCCACTCTATCACTGTGAGTGTGATTTCTATTACAGGACATGCCTGAGTAACTGAGGCCCTTCCTCCCAAAAGAGAAATAACAACACCAAAGAAACCTTTGCTCTTCAGCATGTTCTGTTCCACTCCGCCCTCAAAAGCTTCCCTGTCGATGGCTTTGTGGTTCCTGGGCCTCCGGAGCAAACCCCTCTTTTCAACAGTGTCCGGGGCCATCAAGGAGCCAACAGACATGCGGAGGGACCTGTGAAAACAGGAGGGCAGAAACCATCTGTCAGCATCACACCCCCTCAGACTGCAGGCACGATGGCACTAACAGTGGGACACGTGACAAAGCCAGGAGGACTTTGCTAAAACAACTTTAAAAGTCCAGAAAATACAGCACAGATGCGACTGACGTGACGAGACTCGTTGGAAACACCAGCTACGAATACAAGACCAAGCTGGGCATACAGGGCAGAGCCACAATTTCTGTGTGTGGGGCAACACTTTCAAATGCCATCAGCAGAGGGGGGTGGTTTTGTTACTGCTAACACAGGTCTTTATCACAAACCCAGGTATCTGCACTGTTCTCCACAGCTACAGGTGTGATCAGTGAAAGCAGCTACAGCCAAGACAGCCAGAAGTTAAGACATTTCAGATTACTCACCGAAACATAACTGTGTTGTCCAGCGTTGACTGAGCTAGAAAAAGTTCGTGACACATTAGTGAAGAAACTACACACTGGGCTACAGGAACACCCCAGTGGACCCTCCTCTGTCCAGAGCCAGTCATGCTACAATCCTCACTTGGGTGCAAACACAATCAGATGACAGGTTCACTTCATTATTTCCTGTCTACACTTCAGACCTGCGTGTCAGAAAGCTAACATGCAATCTCTGAAAGGGTGGGAAAGAGTTATTTCAAGGGAAAATTAACATGGCACATACCCTCAGGTTCAGTAATTTAAATTTTAACCACATTCACAGCAATTAACCCAACCAAGGGCATCTGGAGCTTCAAAAGTACAACTACTCCACACACTGTTGATAAAACTGGAACTCATGTACACACAGGCACAGAGTCTCTAATTCAGAGCTGAGGTACTGGTGTCTGAATTCCTCCCGTGAATTCTCCTCCAGTTGCTACTCCAATAGGATATTGGATAATTTCTGACTGCAGCCTTACCTTGGTTCTGGACAAGCCGTTTGTCTGCTGCTCTCTCGAATTCAGAAATGCTGAGTTTCTTTCTTTTCTTATTCATGTGGAACACAGTGATGGTTGTGTCCTCAGCAGCAAGGTCTGGCAGCTGCAGTTCCCCCCTGCCAAAACAAACCAAGCTGGAGAGGCATTTCTGAAATTCCCACCTGGCAGGATGCAATTCTGATCACTGAAGCGCAAGGAGCTGCAGCCGTACCTGGCATGTAATAAATGTAAAAATTATATATATAAAAAAATCACTTACATGCTGGAAACCCTCTTAGATGGGAGTTCTGGTCGAGCTTCTTCCCTGTCTTCATGGTTAGATATCTGAGGTGCCAGAGGTGAGACTTGGGGTTCTGCCAACAAACCAAAACATTCCCTTTCCACAATTCAATCCAGCAAGAACACCAAAATGCAGCAGAGTGTCACATCTACACCACAGGCTGTAAACTGCATTTATTGATGGCTTAAAATAAAGGCCTGATGAAAACTGTCCAGATTCTCTCCTGGGAAGGCTGGCAGTGACAAAACCAACCGTGACAGAGACGGCAGCACAACCTCTGTAACTCACACCCCATCCTACAGCCAAAGGAGCACCAGGATTATGTGCTCAGTCACCAGGGTAAGAAGAGCAAGGGAAGAGGATTCTGAAGGCTATGATTTCACCAGTGCAAGGCCTGGCCTTTCAGACAGTTCCATCCCACGTTCAGCTGCCACTGCAAGGATTCCTCTCTTGCATTAGTCATACAACGATCTGATTTCTGTTCCACATAACAGGGTAAGGATAATGGGCTACCAAGGAACGACCCCTGCTCTCAACTCCACCAAATCACTGTCTTTCTGCTCTCAGTTCTCCGTAAAAAGAAAAAAAAAGATACTTACGGGTCTGGATGACTCTCTTGAGCATAACCCGCGGTGTGTCATTGTCAGCGTCTGGGAACACCCTCAGTCTCCGCTTGGCCAAGCTGCGCCTGCGAGAATTACTGTCGGTCCCTGGATTTGATCCAGTCTAGACAAAAATCAAGAGACAAGCAACTCAAAACCAGTACTCCCACCGCCAAAGATCTCAGCGCCAAAAGCAGCCACCATCCATCTTCTAACGGCAACACACGCCGGCTAGCGGGAAGTGTTTTCCTAAATTCCCAAAGAGGAATCGTGCGCGTCTTCTTTTTGACAACACCGGCACTCCACTGGCAACTCAGCTCGGAGCGGGGATCACCGCGGCGGGTCCCAACGCGCAACCCTCCCGCGGAAGAAACCCCGAGGGGGCCCTCAGAGCACAGCCGCGACGGGCCGGGCCGCTCGGCGAGCGCGGCATTCGGGGCCGGCCGGGCCGTCTCCCTCACGGTAAAGGGGAGCAAGGGTGAGGGGCTCGCTTGTCTCTCACACCAAGCGCGACCAGGCGGGACAGCGGCTTCCTTTCCTTCCTTCCTGTCCCTCCCTCACCCCCCCCCGGGTTACCTGTGCCGCCGCCCCTCCCGCCGTGTGGCGGCCGCTGCTCCTGAGGCCGGGCCGGGGCCGGGCCCCCCCGTCGGCCATGGCGGGGCGCGGCGGGAACGGCCGCGCGCGCCTCCCGCCGCCTCTCGCGAGAGCGAGGGGCCCCGCGGCGCACTGTGGGGCGGGTAGTTCCGCCGGCGCCGCGGTGCACCGTGGGCCGGGTAGTTCCGGGGCGGCGGCGGCGGCGGCGGCGGCGGCGGGGCCCGCGCGGGCCTTGTGGGAGCTGTAGTTCGGCGGGGCCGCTCGCCCCGGGCGCCGCGGGCGTCCCCCGGCCCCGCGAGGCCATGCCGGGCTTCACCTGCTGCGTGCCGGGCTGCTACAACAACTCGCACCGCGACAAGGCGCTGCACTTCTACACCTTCCCCAAGGACGAGGAGCTGCGGCGCCTCTGGCTCAAGAACGTCTCCCGGGCGGGCGTCAGCGGCTGCTTCAGCACCTTCCAGCCCACCACGGGCCACCGCGTCTGCAGCGAGCACTTCCAGGGCGGCCGCAAGTCCTACCTGGTGCGGGTGCCCACCATCTTCCCGCTGCGCGGCGTCAACGAGCGCAAGGCTCAGCGGGCCCGGCGCCCCCGCCCCGCCGCCGCCGCCGCCGCTGCCGCGCCGGGCCCCGCCGCCCAGGCCCCTGCAGGGGGCGCGGCCGAGGACGTGAAGCCCATCGACCTGACGGTGCAGGTGGAGCTCGGGGCCGCCGCCACTGTCGGGCCCAGCCCCGTGCGGCTGCCGGTGCCCGTGCCGGCGGCGGCGGCGGCGGGGGAGGAGAGCCCGGCGGAGGGCGGCCCCCCCGACCACTCGTACTCGCTGTCGTCGGGCACCACGTCGGAGGAGCTGCTGAGGAAGCTGAACGAGCAGCGCGACATCATCGCGCTGCTGGAGGTGAAGATGAAGGAGATGAAGGGCAGCATCCGCCGCCTGCGCCTGGCCGAGGCCCAGCTCCGCGAGGAGATCCGCGAGAAGGACCGGCTGCTCCACGCCGCCAGCGCCGGCACCCGCAAGCGCCACGGCCTCTGAGGGCGCCCGGCGCGGGGCTCCCCGTGCCGGAGCCCCCGCCGCCCTCGGAGAGGGGCCGGGCCGGGCGGGGGTGAGATGGACCGCGGCCCCTCAGCCCCGGCTGGCGCTGCCCGCTCCTTCCCTCTCCCGCCCGCGCCGCGGCGGCCCCCCAGCCGGGCAAGCCCTCGCCATCGGACTGCCCCGTCTGGGCTGGATCGGCTCGGTGCCCAGCCCCGTTATCACCCCGACGTTACCCCCGGTGTTGTCACCTCGCACCGGGCCCATCCAGCCCGCTCTGTGCCGGCAGCGTGGCTGGGACCCGAGCCGTCACCGAGTGGACGCAGGGTATCAGTTTTCGGCAAACAAACTCGCTCCGTGTCGAGTGAGGTGACAGCAACACTACCCTGGAGAAGGCGTGTCCGGCTGCCCGGGCACTGCACCCGGCATAGGAACGACCGGCACTGCCGCGTCAGGCCTCTCTCGGCGGAGGCACGAGGAAAAAGCTTTAGAAAACCCTCTCAGGGTGACGTGTTCCTTCAGTAAATTACTGATGCCATAACAGGCTGCTGTCCCTGGCGTGACAGAACCCCCGGATTAAAGAGTGCTCTCGTACCGTGTAGTTTCTGCTTTCTCTGCAGCGCGTGCGTGTTCGTTAAGTGCGTCTCGATGCTCTCGGCGCTGGGAAGGATTACGGACTGGGACAAGGAACCCGGTGGCATTTGACAGCTGTAGTTCTATCTCATTGGGTTAAGACTCCTTCTAATGAAACGGAGGCTTTGTAACACGTCGGAATTCTAATCCTTGGCTTTCGTTCAGAGAACCGGGAATGAAACCGAAGCGAGTTTACCTGCAGTGGTTGCGAACCTTTGCTGTCTAATCCTCAACTAGTTGGCATGGCTAATAATCTGTACATTAGGCAAGACCATACTGAAACCTGCTTGCGTGTTCTAAACCAAGATTTAAGAGTATTGTAACAAATCTATGTGGAATGATTGTGTAGTTTCTGTTTCTAGCCAGCATCAGTCCCCTCACTTTCTGCAACAGGAAACCAAATCGGCGTTGGCTAGAAAGAGGGTGGAGTGAGGGTAGCGAGGCCATGAGTTTGGGTTGGTTATTTTTTCCAGCTTAGCTGGTGGAACAGATACCTCAGCACCCTGGAGGAGGAGAGTATCTGGTGCCCCAGCAGAGCCCTGTGGCGAGGCATCGACGACAGTGGATGTTGAGAACAAAAAGCACTTCACCACAGTGTGCCCATATTCACCTTCGAGCGAGGAATGCCCAGGGGTTTCCTGGGTCTGTGAGATCCTTCTGGAACCCGAGTGC